CTCTGGATTCAGCACAAGTGATGTTAATGAAGAAGAAGGCAAAGACAGCTGTGTGTCTGTACTGCAAAGCAACACGACTGACTTATTTAACCACTTGAAAAACCTGAAACGATGCAGTGGTTACTAGTGTGAAACGCAGACAGCCATAAAAGCACAGCAGCACAGCAGTGCATCTGACTCACAAAGTGCATTCCATTCGACCAAAGACATCTGTCCACTAAACACAGTGAGTAATGAAGACTTCAAGAAAATTGTCAATTTATTGGACAAAAGTGGGTTCTGGGTTCTGCAAAATGTCACATGAGGAAAAGAGATGGATCTCACTTGCTTCGAGCTTTATTCACATCCATCAATAAATGGAGTGAAAGAGCTTATATCTTGCTTTTAGAGATGCACTTCCAGCAGATAAATTCATATTTGCCTGCAAAGATGTTTTATTTAACCGGAATTTAGTATAAAGGCTTTAAATGTTGATTTAATTTTGTGTTCAAATTTGACGATTTTTCATTCAGATTTTTCATAAAAGAGCTGCAGTGAATTAGATAAATAAAAAGGGCCAACTTTGTTTTGCTTCAAAGATGTGTATATTAATAGGTATATGGATGTAAAAGCAGGGTTATTATTTACATTTTGTCACTAAAATCAATGAATAATTATTGTAAATAATTGTGATGTTATTGATTAAAATAAATGAGAATCATTTTGGCCATAATTGTGCAGCCCTGCTGTCGCCAATTTGCTTTTTTTTTCTTTAGAGGTTGGGAGCATCAGTTCTAATCGTCTCCCTGACTTTCCGTTAACTCACCAGTTCCGTTAACTTGCTTTGTCAGGTAAACGTGACCGAGCTGGTGTTTTTTGAACAGTTATTTAAAAAGCAATTGTTGGCATTTTTTTTAGTCTATGTGGATGACTTCAGAAATCAAAAACAATTTGAATTCAAGTAGCAATTCTCAAAGATAAGCTAAGCTATGCTAAGCTATGCTAAGCTACGCTAAGCAAAGCTAAGCTAATCTAAGATATACATTATTTTATTCATTCCTATGTTGCAGGAGCCAAAACATACAAAATAACTTGACTAACTATAATAAATAAAATTCACAAAAAAGTAAAGCTCTCAATAAATAAAATTAAACTACTGTATAGATATTATTTGTTTTAATATAATAAAATCTAAATGATTTAAATTTGTTTTCATAATTTAATCTATTTAAAATTCCCAAATCAATGTCAATAAATCAGTATTTAACAGTTCTTTTAGTTTGGTTTCAGTATGCAGGCTTTCTAATCAACAAACCAATACATATTTTTATACATATTGTATATTATCTGTGTTCTGCACATACAGACACAACAGGAGCCCAGCTGGCATTTTGACTTGGCAGCAGTTTGCCGGGTGCATTTGTTCATGGAGTGCCATCTCCCCTCACTGATTATAATACACACAAAGGACTGAATACTGCTTCCCCAGGAATCCAGCCACCAGCAGGTTCTGTATTGTTTCCCCCTGTCTGGATACCTTTTGTGAGGGGAAAAAACATATATTACAGTAAAGGGAAATTTAATTTTAGCATAAAGCATTTGCATAACATTGCCTCATCTTAGACCTTTTTAAGCCATGTGACCTTTTGGACTGTGCTCAGTAAAAAAAAGAAGCTGAAATACTGACTGTCCATCAGTGTGTTACAGAAAGGTGGAAGGGCGCTATAATGATTGTTAAAGAGTAAAAAATGCATATTGATTTGCATTTGCATGATTTGCTGGACTTCACATGCATGTGAAGTCCAGCATTATCTGTTCTTTTTTTGCAACAAAGCAGCGACAGCACCGAACCTGCCACACCCAAAGCTCTTTAATGCCTCCCTCGGGATTCAAACACCTCCTCAAACATTTGCATGGCTTCTAAAGCCGATAGAGATAAATACTCAAGGTCTTTAAAAGATGGCGCTTAATGCAAGAGGGAGCAGCGTCGGGACGTCGGGACGTCAGCACATCTTGCGACGCCTCGTGAGAGGACACTTGATTGAGCGCATCTGCCGCGAGTGGCCTAACAAACTTGATTTCTTCCTGCTGGTGACATATTGAAATGGCGTGTTTTGCAGGCTGCTCTCCGCGCCTGACACGGCCCACTTACACACTCATCAGCAAGACCTGCCCCACTCTGCGCTCTCAGCTGCTTTGTTCCAGCTGATGTCATCTAAACCTCGTCCCTGCAGGGTTGTCTGGGGTAGATAAGACATTCCCTCCCTCTCCACTGGTCTCCCACACAAAAACACACACACACACACACACACACAAAAAATGGGGCTGCTGCTATGAAGATGGATTGCCCAGCTGGTGACACTAGTTCCCTTTCTGCTGAAGCCACTGTGGAGCACTAACGCAATTAAAGCAATTAATCTTCAACAAAAGGGGTTCACGGCTACCTCTCATGATTTTGCATGTTTCTGTATAGGTGCGTAACATAACAAGGGGGGGGGGGGGTGTAAAAGGAAGCAGCATAGCAGTCGTGCTTATCACACAACTGATGTGTGATATCAGGATGCGATCGGCTTTCATCAAAGTCGCATCATTTTCACAACAAGCAGCACGATAACAATAAATACTGTAGTCGACCTACAGGCGGAGAGGCTGTAAGCGCGCAGCCGCTTAAAAAGGCAACTTCTCCGACGATTGCCACAGCAGATGCTTAACATTTTATACTGTGCGCCCTGTAACGCAGAAGTGTGTGGAGTCTGTTGTGTGTTGTCATGCTCCACAAACAGTTACTCTACTTCCTAGTTGTCTTTAAAGTCTGCTATCGTGGCAAAAAAAATTTAAATCTAAAAAGATTCCTTTTAATGTAATACAGCTGGGACTGTCTCAATTTTAATTTCAAATCTGTGCTTCTTTTCCGTTTCATTCTGGAACAGCGGCACAGGTGGTCTCAGCCAAATATCATTTATTTAGTGCGAGTAAAAGCATTAAGACACATTAGCGAGCATCAGACAGACTTTCAAACTACCAGAACAAAGACAGCGTTAAAGAAATCCATCTACTAAATGTCCATTAGTCTAATACTCGCTGCTGCACTGAAGAACTAAAGTAAATCTATCTTTCTGCTGCAGCTTCGCCCACAACAAACTTCTAATTTCAATTATTCAGGAGTAGTTGTGTGATTATATTTGAATGATTCAAATCTCGAGTCGTTTGTTATTTATCTCAGCAGTTGGTCACCGAGTGAGTGCAGTCGGCAGTAAGTGAGAAGAGTGAAGGGCAAGTGCGTGCAGTGATGGAACAAAGAATCGAGCTCTGCCGCTTTATTCGTCGCTTCATTCGCAGCAACGTCGATTCATGTCAAACAATCCAAAGTATGATTTCCAAACAACAGGATCAAAGTGTGCTGTGAGGTTGAAGTTTGCTATGGAAGTGGCACAGGGCAAGTGAAGGGCACCAGCAGCGAAACCACTATGCAAATTCCCCGCCACTTTGTTTGACAAGCAACAACACTGCTTTGTATATATGCAAAGCCTGGCAAGACACTCTGCACACAGCCCTGCTGTCAGAGCCGGGTCATGCTAGAACGGCGACCCCTGTCTCCGAGCGAGGTTACTGGGCCAGACTTCACGCTGGACTCAGACAGACGCGCACAAGACCGACAGAGTTATCGCGTGTGGCTCGCGTGACATTTCAGGGGTCAAACGTGGCTGGACGCTGAGATCGTTCCTCATTGCTCAGAAACCCGACGGAACTCGAATGATTTCATTTCTGGAGCCGCTCTCGTCCCGCTGAGGTGAAAAGTACTTGATTAGCACGTTGAAATTTACTCAGCAGCCGCTCTGTTCGGCGGCCACTAAAAAGCTGGAGATAAAACACGGTAAACCCCATTAACCATTACTCAGCTCAGCTTCAAGCTGTTTTTATTCTTAGCTACATGTAAGGAGTGCATCAAAATCTCTCCGTGGAAGTACGACCACAAAATAAGCCTCAGAGATTGAAGCGTTGTGGTGCACACTGACACTGTTCTTTTGAATTCCTAAAAAACCAAATAAATCAGTTTCTTTTGTGATTTCAGGCCTAGACAGACACACAAAACATGCGCTAATTTAAAACTATGTTACAGTGTGCAAGCCAAACGGTATACTCATTCATCCTCATTACAGTTCTGATAAAGCACAGTATAGTGGTCACTTTAAGGTTGCCTGTGTCTTTAGTTGGTCAGTGCTGTGATTGATTTGTCAACATATCTTTGATGTTTTACATATATAAATGCAAGCACGAGAACTAGGTCACCGGTGATGATCTGACCTTTATCCCTAACTCTAACCCTTTGCTACCAGAATAAGTAATTTTCGGTTTTCTGTTAAGGTGTTCTACAAGTATTGGCAGTCATCAGTGATGGTGGCCAAACAGTTTACAAGTGCACATATAGGAAGTGACTATCAGTGACGAGACAATCAGAAATCATGGAATATCAACAGATTTCTGTGGCTAATCACAGAGACGGGAAAAACACCTGTTATTGACACATAGTGGGCAGGTACTGTTAAAGTAATCTTACTGTTGAGTTAATTAGATTAGAAGTTCTGTCTGAATCAGGTGATGCTGCGTGTTTACCTTACAAATATATAAATATAAAGTGCCCGAGGTGACTGTTGAGATTAGGCGGTGTATGAATAAAATTGAATTGTATCAAACTTTATGGGTATTGGTTAAATAGTACACAGGAAGTTGTCTTTGCCAAAGGATTTAAGTCAAACAGGCATTTAAAATGTGCTAATGCGCCAGTGATTTACATTTTCTGTTATTAAAATGTGTGCATCTCGTCATTCACGGCAAACAGCTGCACAACACGCTGCTGTTGGAGGCTTTTACAGCGATGTGCTAAAAAGAGAACCAGGTGAGAGGTGTGGAAGGGGGCGAGTGTTGTTTAGACGTGTCTGTCTTTGTGTGTCAGAGCAATAAGAGCACATGCAAAAAGCACAGCGGTTCTCATGTTGTGGTAAAAGCAAATATTGAGCTACCTGTCGGTCTCTTGCAGTGGTTCGCTGCCCTTCCGCCAAGAGATCACACCCCAAGGAGACATCTTGGGCTTGCACTCGACGAGCGCGTCTCCTCCTACCTTCACCAGCGTCTGGCTCCTCAGTTGATTGTGAGAAAAATCTGGGGCAACAGCTGAGACAAGAGCAGCATGTTAAAGCCAGTATTTGTAAAAGCCTCACACTTTCTTCTCCTTCCTACAGTTCATTTCTGATCGTTTATCTCATTTTAAATGTGGCGCTCAACAGTTTTTCACCATTACATTACAAATACATTGAACTATTGCTGCGGGTAAATCAATGACAGTGGATTAAAGATCTTTATAATGCAAATAATTAGTAATCAGAACGCTGAACAGTAATGCCCACAGCTGATGGGTTGAAGAGGTTGATAACAGGCTTGCATGTGAAACTCTTCGCAAAATCGTGCGCTGTCCGATAACCTCCCCGACATCCTCTTTTTTTCTCCCCATTGACCAGTAAAATCAGGCGTATTGAGCCCGAGCCCAATCGGCTACACGATCAGGATGAGACGCGCCGGAGGTTGAATGGTGAATGAGGGCGGCTGCCGACAAAGAGCGAAGAGTGACGGGCTTGACAGCGCAGATGGGCGAGGCTGGTGAACAAAGCAGCTCCGAGCATACATCACTGTCAGCAGGACGCATTCATCTTATAATTAATGCTTTTCAATTAGTGGCCAATAAGAGGGAGGCCAGAGGTCATCTGAAGAGGGAGCAAACTTGAAAACAAACACCCTTGCGCACACATCTCAAGCAGGGATGCGCACATGCCAGAGTGGGTGTGCGCATCCCTGCACACTCTGTAAACCGGGGCGGGGTCTTACCTATAACTCGCAGCTCTGCGTTGGAGTAGACCTCCCCGTGCTTATTGCCGGCCACACACTGATACATGCCGGTGTCAGTCAGGGTCAGGCGACTGATTGACAACACCCCGCTGGCGACCTGTATGCGTTCCTACGGACAAACAGACATGTGCCTTTAATATGCTTTACTCCCATGGCTCATCTACATAAAAACAGGCAGCCAGCGGCCCAGTGAATTATGGTCTGGAAGTGACAGACGTGGCAATAAATCTAGGTTTTCATCACTAATGGAGGCAAAGGCTTGGGTGGATGGAGGCAGGCTAGCGGAAAATGACCCTAATCAATCTACATGTTTATGAGAGTGAAATAAAACCATGCTCTATTTATATCTCTGGCTGCACCACAGGGCCCGTTTCCCCTTCAGCAGAAAGAGGGGATAAGAGGGGAAGGAGTATCGAGACATCTGAGGTATACAGCGCTGTGAAAATTGCTTTCTAGATAGGTATGCCCTGTACATACTAAGTGCTGTGTACATGGTCACGCTGTACCAGCGCTTCATCTGTTTGGACTATTTGCCCGCCTACGGGGGGAAAATCTTGCTCGTCACTGAGCCATCAAATTAAAATCTATTTAAGGACGGTTAGGCCCGATGAACTAAAAACTCGGCTGGATCAGTGAATCAGTCGGACATTTAATCCCCAGTATACATTTATCTCCCTGAACTCAAGTTTTCGCAGCGCTCCTTCACTACAGTATTAAATCCTTGAGCAGTTTTCATACATCTCTATGCAGCTGTGTCAGGTTTTTCGCCTCCCCCGTGTCCCTACGTCTGCTGCGTTCTCCTCCGGCTTCACCCATAATGTCATCAGAGCCTATTTCCATAGTTTTTTTTTTTCTTGGAGCGGCCTGTGCTCCAGTTGCCGGGGATTAAGGTACTGTGACATGAAAAGAGAGACCGTCCTCGTCGAAAGATCACAAACTAATCCTGTGTTTGAGCAGGTTGCGCCTGAATTTCCATACCGCTCAGGCACCTCCGGATGTGCAGGGGCGAACATCCCTGCTGGCGAAGGAGGCGAATGCTGGCGTGTATCAGTCTGTGCATAAGCATTCCCATTTATGGCAGCTATTAATTAACCATGACATTCCTCTCAAATCAGCAGTTTTTCATGCAGGGACCTGGGGGGGACCATCTGTACGCCTTATGCTGAATGAAAATGATTGGCAATGTCATTTGCCAACAACTCTGGTGTGATTTACGTGATAAAACAAACAAACCAAACAAAACAAAAACTCAGAAAATATGAATAAACAGAAAAAGTGAGTTTTTCTGGTTTTTTTTTAGGATTACTAATATTAGTCTTTGTAAGAATGACGCAAAACGCCTGTAAAACTTGCACAAGCTACATTTCATATGATATTATCACAACTTCAATCTACTCATTTGCATTCAAGAACAAAAGGGTGGGGGGTCTTTTATTCTCCTATACTCTGATCTTTCAAGTTTGATCTTTGTTGACCAGAGATGAGCAGTAACGCGTTACTTGTTCAACTGACCGCTGCGGCACACCTGCACCAGGGTAAACCTCCGCCTACCCCACTCCTGCTTTACAGGTGAAAATAGAGCAACAGGACCGCTAGTCTTTGATTTTATTTATTTTCTGCTGTGTTTCACTTGCATTTATTTGAAAGACTGAGTGTAAACACAAAAAAATATTTTATTTTATGTGCTGGAATGTGCAGAAAATAGGTTTAAATGTTAAACTAATTTCTTCAAGTCAGAGAATGTTGCATATAATTAAAATTTCGCTTGATGCATAAAGTTAAAAGATTAAAACTAATAAAACAAATTTTAAAAAGAGACTTTTCCATTTGATTACATTTTGTATGATGATCACAGATTATGCAGAAAAAGTAGAATTGGGCTGAAAGATCTATCGCTTTATCACCTATTCAGGTTGTAAATCATGTTTTTAAAAAGTAACTAAGTAATTAATTAATTTTGAAAATAAGTAATCAGTAAAGTAACAGGATTACTTTTTTTGGGAAGTAATCAGTAATTAGTTACTTTTTTCAAGTAACTTGACCAACACTGTTGTTGACTAAGAAAAAGGGTTCAAACAAAAAGAAATTATTAGTGCTCACTGGAGGAGAAATGTTAAAGAAATCTGCTCATTCTACTCATAGATGTTTGATTAATTTAATGTGCCTGAGCAGGACAGAAGTAGCAGACGTGAACTAAGCTCAACAGTGGCTTTATAATAACAAGAACAAAACTTGAGGCGAAGCCTGTTTGCTCCACTTGAGCTTGAACGAACATGGAAAACAAGGAATTTCAACCATCTCTCTGATCCTTTTTAAGTATTAAACCACAATTAAAGCAACATTATTTGAAGCCTTTTGGATAAGAGTCCTAAGAGAGCAGGGAAACCTAAATTCAAGTGCGGAGCAGTAAGCTATGAGTACGGTGGTCCTTTAAATGGACTAAATCCTGTTTCACGGTGGAGTTTCCTTTTAATTGCAGCGCTACTTAATCCTGCAGCCATTGTCAATAAAGCAGCAGAGAGTGAGGTCCTTCAGATGAAAATGCCACAAGAAAAGAAACATAGCTGTTCTGACACAGGTAATAAAAGCAATCCTGAGAAGAACTGAACACAACAGCTTGTTCGCTGTGGGTCCATAACAAAAAATCTCAAAAACATGTAAAAACCTATTAAAGCGTCGCTACAGAACTCAGCAATGACGTCCTCTTTTTCAACGGCTCTGGTTCCAGGAATGAATTTTGCACTTATTTGTCCACGGATGTTTCAGAAAATTATACACAAATATATATAAAAAGTTTTAAGCTAAGAACCAAGCCAATCCACGGCGAGGTGAATCATGATGACAAAAAGATTTGACTTGGATGACAAAAAAAAAGAAACAAAAAGAACATTTTAAAAAAGGTAAAGGTACAGACTCCCCCCACAGCCCATTTGCAAAGCCAAGATTCAGACCAGCTTCCAACTTTCTCAAATTTTCTTTTTTGCTGTTATTTTCTAGTTTGTGTTTCGTATGCTTGTGTGTAATAAAGTATAGCCGATATTTTTAGCCAAGGTTGTCATGGTAAAACTGATCCCCACCAATCAGATTCACAGTGGTTTCAATTCAGAGATTGTGGATAAATTGTGTTTTTGTCAAAATGTTTCCACAGGGACAGATTTGAAGTGAGTCTACCTTTATTGTTTACAACATTATGGCCTGTAGTCAAAATCCATATCTAGAATACAAATGGGATTTTTATTTCCAGAACTTCACTATATTATTAAAAGAAATACAAATGTCTGGGGTCTTCAAACATTTACCATCTCATTGAGTGCACTCTAGGTCTTATGTAATTCGGTATTTCAGGGTCCAAAGGTTTTTTCAGTTGTGAAAAACATGCAAACATAGAGGCATAATTGAGAGGAAAAATTAGTTTTATAATGCAAATTTACAGTACTGTGCAAACGTTTTAGGCAGGTGTGGAAAAATGCTGTCAACAAAGAATGCTTTCACAAATATAAATGATTGTTTATTGGCCCCAAATGTATTCTGCAGCAGGACAACAACCCCAACACACAGCCAAAGCGCAAAGAAGAACTGGAAGTACTGGAAGTGATGGTACGGCCCCCACGGAGCCCTAGTGTCAACATCATCGAGTGCGTCTGGGATTACATGAAGAGACAGAAGGCTGTGAGGAAGCTTAGTTCTTCAAGATGTTTGGAACAACCTACCAGCCGAGGTCCTTCAAAAACTGTGTGCTAGTGCACCGAGAAGAAGGCAAAGGGTGGTCACACCAAATACTGTTTTTATTTTTTATCTTTTGTTCATTCACTGCATTTTGTTGATTGATGAAAATCAATTATTAACACTTCCATTTGTGAAAGCATTCTTTGTTTACAGCATTTTTTCTCACCTGCCTAGAACCTTTGCACAGTACTGTACGCTGTTGTCCAAGGAGGTATAATTAAGTCCAGTGTCCAACATTCATGAAAGGGATTCATGAGAAGAGTAACAATTTAACTATAAACCTGCTGAAATCCAAAGAAATAATATAGAATGTTCTGGATAAAGTTTTTTTTTTAAAACAAAAACACATGAAGTACAGTCCTGCTATGACTCTGATGACAAATGAAGGTAAAAAAAACCCCCCAATACTAGTCTGTTTTTGGAAGGTTAATGTAGGGCTGGGCGATATGGCCTAAAATTCATATCGTGATATAATTTGAAGCACGTGCGGTAACGATATATATCACGATATATTCTTTTCTTCTGTATAACGTATTTTCCACACT